TCCTGCTGCTCCTCGTGCTCTGGAGCTTGATGTTCGTGGGGCACAGAAGATGCAGAGGGCTTGGGAACAGTTGTGACCCTTGTGAGGGGAACCTCTCCCAGGGAAATGATCTGAGGGGAAGCTCTGGAGCAACCTCAGGGCACCTGCCCCACTAACTCGGCTGTGCTGAGTGATGCTGTCAGGATCGAGCCCAGGACCACATCTGAATGGCTCTGTGCTGGATGGGAGGGATGTATGTCTCTGGGGCTGGAAGAGGCTGGATCCAGAGCAGTGACAGTGCTGCTCTTGGCAGATTTCCAAGACAATCAACATGCTGGTTCGCTGGTTTGTGGAAGGGAAGGACTCCCCAGCTTTTCAGGAGCACGTTTCCAGGATCCCTGACTATCTCTGGTAAGCACAGAGCATGACCCACCTGGCACAGTGTAGGGCTCTTGGTCCCTGTGGAGTGAGCCCAGGGTGGCTCCCTGCCTGCTTCCTGGCACTTTGGCTGTGCCTGTGTGCAGCACTGTCCTCTCTTCTCCCACAGGCTGGGTCTCGATGGCATGAAGATGCAGGTGAAGTGCTGTGGGAGTTCAGCTGTGACTGGGAGGGACCCTGGCATGCTGGGGCAGCCCTTGGAATAATGGGATAACTTGTTCACCCTGGGTCTGAGCTCCTGGCATCTCACCTTTGGTGCCTGATGGCCTTGTCTGTCTTAATGCCACTTCCCCTGGCTGTGCTTCTGTCCTGCTAGTTTGCTTCTCTATGCCTATGAGCTGAGGGGGCAGCTCTGGACCTGCATCCCCTTCATCCCCACAGGTTCTGGGGGAAGGGAAGGAGAAGAATAAGCTCCTGATAACTGCTTGTGGTCTGAGCTTTGCTTCTCTCACAGCCGTTGTGTCCCTCTGCTCCTTACCTCCAGCCACCTCTCCTGTCTTGGCTGTGCTCAGAGCAGGCTGAAGGAGCTGTCTCATTTCCTATTCCCTTGCTGTCCCTGACCTGCTGCATCTGTCCCCTCTGTGCCAGCACGTCAGCTGTGATGCTGGGTGACATAAAACTGGAGGGTGGAGGGAGCTAGTGAGGGTAGTGCAGGAGCAAGATGCTGTCCTGTAGACCCCATAGGTGGGTCAGGCTGCTGCCAGCACCCACCCCCTCACTGACTGCACTCTCTCTTCCAGGGTACAAATGGATCCCAGCTCTGGGATACTGCCTTTGCCATCCAAGCCTTCTTGGAGGTAACACACCCCTCAGTGCTACATCTTGCCTTGGGAAAATGCTCTCTCCCAGCACATCCCCAAATCCCAGCCACTCCTGCTGTGCCTCCAGTGTTGTGCCAGCTCTGGCACTGCATTGTGTGGCTGACATTTAAGGGGTCACAACTCCTTGCTGACTGTGCACCTCTGTTTCCAGGCAGATGCCCAGAAGATGCCTGAATTCGAGTCCTGCCTCCAAAACGCCCACGAGTTCCTCCAGTTCAGCCAGGTGAGTGGAGCCTGGGGGTGGTGTCTCTCACATGCCAGCTTTGCAGACTTGGCAGCTTTTCAGAGCCCTGTTGGATGTAGCTGTTGCCTTCTGAAGGGCTGGATTAGCAAAGTCTTGAGTGGCAGCCTCCTGTTTTTTGCTCCTTGTTGCTGGGAGCAGTCTTGGCAGCTTGGAGAGGACCTTGGTCAGGCCCAGAGATGTTTGGGTTGGCTGCCTGGGCTAAGAGAGACTGGAGAAGTGAGAGCTTAGACTTCTTTGTCCTCTGTCCTCTCTGGTGCCCACACATTTGAGTCATCCTTCTGGGAGACCCAGACTCCTTGGGTAGTGCCTGCATGAGCTCAGCTCAGCTCCTGGCTCAAGGTGGGGAGTCACTGTCACTGCAGATGCAGTCATAGGTCCTGCTCATGGTGCTGCCAATGGGAGCACTGAAAGATGTTTCCCTGGCAGGAAAGCACCCAAAGAGGGGACTTCAGCCACGCTTGATGAAACCAGGCCAAAATATGATTTCTCTTCAGCACTCCCTGCTCTAGAGCTGAGCTCTTTCC